TTCTCCGACTCTCAACTTAATGGTTTCTACCGTTTTTCTGCTGGTGATGAGCACTACCTCGGTTTTATGCTTGGCCAGTTGCAAGTTCATCATGTCCATCCACAAATTGACTCGTCTGAATGTAATATCAAATGCCAGTTCTATCTCTTCGAGGTGATTTGCGACGATCACGACAGCTACGTCATCCGCATATGCTACAAGTTTGACTCCCGTGGGCAATGCTATTCTCAGGAGGCCATCATACATGATGTTCCATAGCAGAGGACCTAAGACTGATCCCTGTGGCACTCCTCCGGAGATTTCGTACACTTCCGTACCATTCTTCGTGTTATATTTCAGGACCCTATTCGTGAAGTAGCTCGCTACTATTCTACGAAGGTATCCTGGTACGCTTTTTTCCTCTAGAGCCCGCATAACACAGTCCCAGTAAGCGGAGTTGAAGGCATTCTTGATGTCCAAAGCAGCCACCAAGCAGTATTTCTTCTTTCCACTCTTCCATCTCGTTCCAGCGATTGCATCCTTGGCTGTATCAACAACCAATTTGATTGCATCCAGAGTTGACCGTCCTTTTCGGAAACCGAATTGGTTCTCTGCCAGAAGTGGATCGACTAAAGCCTCTATTCTCTGATGAATTATGCGTTCGAATATCTTGCCGGCCGTGTCTAACATGCAGAGTGATCGGTAGGATGATGGTTCTTCCGGCGGCTTTTTTCCCTTCGGAAGTAACACTAGCCGTTGCTGTTTCCACTTCTGGGGAAAAGTCCCTTCCTTCAGGCATGTATCGTAGACGTCCAGGAATAATGTCCGTGCTGCCCTAAGGATTGATTTCAGGGCAATATTAGGGATTCCGTCCAATCCCGGTGCCTTATTATTCCCTACTCGATTGCCTGCCTCTATCAACTCATCCAACGTGATAGTTGGGATGTCTTCAGGGTTGAGCTGCTCCAACTTGTAGGTGAATACCGGCTGTCGGGGAATCAGCGCAGTAACAATCTTCTCTAGGAGCTGTGGACACGTAGGTGATGGCATTGGCTGGCATTTCAGGTGGGTCATAACCACTTTGTACGGTCTGCCCCATGGATCTTTCTCGACTTCTGCGACCAGTTCCTTCCAGCAGCGTCTTTTGCTTTCTTTGATGGCTCTGTTTAGTTCTCGACGGGCCTTTTTATACTCTGCCAACAGCTCTGCGGAGTTAGGTCGTCTATAGCCACGCTGAGACTTTCTTCTTTTTTTAAGACACTCTGAGCGTAGAGTGCTAATGTGATCGTTCCACCAGTACACCGAAGGTCTTGAGTTCATGTCACGTTTCCGAGACATACTAGCGTCGCAAGCCTGGGTGACTTTTCTCATTAGGTCCTTGGTCTTCTCTTCAGCAGTTTCTACCATGATCGGATCGCAGTCTAAAGCTACTACTAAAGCAGTGGGAACGAGAGCTTTAACTTTCCACCCAACCGCGCTAGCGCTCCTGTTGTCTCTTGTTAGGTTCTGGCCAGTTGATATTTCCCATAGTATCGCACTATGGTCACTGGCTGTGTAGATGTTCAATACTTTCCAAGAAAAACCTCTTCGGGCTAAGCAACTGCTGACAAATGTGAGGTCGACAATTGAGCTTGCCTCTCCCTTGGTATAAGTTGGCGTGTCACCGGTGTTAAGAAGGATCACGTCCAGTGTGGCCATTGCCTCGAGAAGTGCTTTTCCACGTGTATTAGTGAACTTGCTGCCCCAGTCTGCTGCCCAGGAATTGATGTCACCAGCTATTGCCACGGGAAAGTTTTTTCTTACGTCTTCAGTTAGCCGATCAAAGAAGTCTTCAAACTGTTCATTAGAGAGACTAGGTGGTGCATAGCAGCTGTAGAAGCGGAGGCCATCTACCCATGCTGCTACGAAGCCGGCTTCTTTGTTGTTGGCTGTTCTCTGAAAAGGACATTTACCGCAGGACCAGATGACGGCTTTGTTAGTGCTGTCGGATTCCCAGGGTTGATTACTCAGGTGTCTATAAGGCTCACTTATAAGTGCTACGTCTGCCTCTAATTCGCGCACAGTTTGCATGAGCAGGTCATGCGCAGCCTCACAATGATTGAGATTGAGCTGCAATATCTTCATGTTCTTGGCTTCGTTATCTTCTGGAGCGCTTCTTGGAAGACGGGGCATCTATTCGAGCCTGCATGGTGGGTCGCCTTTTCTACGCCATGCCGTTCAACGCACAGTGCACATTCAGCTGGATTTTTACAATCAGCAATTTTGTGTCCTTCTTTTCCGCACCTTATGCAGTGCTGAGACCGGTTGACTTCGCTTTTGCACTGAGATCCGATGTGCCCAAAGTGCCAGCATTTGAAGCATTGTATGGGTCTCTTCGTTGCTCTCATTCAGCAATTCGACCAGCCTATCCTTATTTTGCAGTTTCCCTCCAGTAACTTTTGTGCTGCAGCTGTTGGTAGTGACACTGTGGCTGTCTGTGTACCCCTAAAGGCTTTACGGATCTTGATTGCCTCTAGTGGGATTTCACAACTTTCTCCAGCTTCCCTCTTTAGAGCGGTCTGAGTATGCTTTTTCGTCGTGTCATCATCGACATCTCGGATCTCGATAGTCTCCTGTGGCCCTTTGCAAATCACTTTGGCCTCCTCCTTAAGGATGTCCGCGATCGTCTTTTGTAGACCTCGGCCTTTGTCAGTGCTCTTCCTCGAAATCGTAATCAATAAGTCTCCACTTCTGGTCTTGTTTATCTTATCCACAGTTGAACGAACCTGCTCATCTGGGACGTCCTGCTTTATGCGACGCAGAATCTCGGCATACTTTGTTTTCTCGGCCGGGCGGATGATCAGTGCGTCGGGTCTGATCCATTTGTGTGGTTTTTTCCGCTTAGGCTTTGGCCTGGCTCCTTCGGCGGCTGCTTTGAGAGTTGCTCTCTAGCTAGCCATCTCTTCTTCTTCTTAGACTGTACTTTTTCCCAGTCAGTCGTCTTCTCGAGTTCGTCGGTTGGCTCTGGCGAATTTCGGTCTTTTCTCTTTCCAGACCTTGTGTCAGTTTCACCCTGGTCCCCAGCAGTAGATTCACCGTCACCGTCGGCTCCAGTGTCCATTGCTTCTTCCGTCTCAACTTCGGTTTCAATGCGGCGTCGTGATGACTGCCATTCCTCGTCCAGTTTCTTGAATCTTCCAAGAGCATTGACTACACCGGTTGTCTTGGTCTTTATCTCCTTGTAGATATTGACCTTAATTTGGACAAACTCTCGTAGCTCAATGGTCAGCTTTTCAAGGCGCTCCAACGCTTACGTTCTCTTAATTTCAGCGCTTGCTTCAATCGCTGCTTGTTGGGCATGAAGCCCGTTTCTATTCTTGTTTGTTTCCTGTAAATTACTCATACTTTTTGATTCACCAGCGCATCGTACGGAGTGGAGCGGGTTGTCATAACTAGGAGCGGGTGTACCCTCCGAGATAGTACTTCTAGCCCAGTTCCCTGAGGCCTAGCCGACACTTAGCCAGTCCCGGAATACACGGACGGACTAGACTCACTCGGGGCGGTGAAGATTCCGATCTCTAACACTCACTGCGTACTTCCTGATCAAGGCCCGAAGTGACTGGCTCCTGATCTACTACTGCAACTTACACCTCGGCAGAGCAAGCTCACATCAGCCGTGGCCTGCATCGTCGGAAACTACGATACAGGTTCCGGACACTCCCAGTGGGTTACAGCAGGGACCGATAGTCTTGTTAGGTCAGTTAGTGTGACCAACCCATTAAAGGGGAGTTTTGTCCACGGGAGCGTATTTTATTCAACTCCTACCCTCTGTACCTCATCAACTAAGAGATTATCCAAGTGTCATCCAAGGACAGCGAGCGTTCTCCCATCCGCTCGGGGAGACGCGCCCGGTAGCAGTATCTCTTCTGCGTGTGTGTGTGTGTGTGTGTGTGTGTGTGTGTGTGTGTGTGTGTGTGTTGTGTATGGATGTATGTAAACCTCTTATAACTTTTGAACGGCTTGAGCGATGTAATCGCGGTTGGTGCCATTCGAAAGGGTTTGACTGAACTTAGATTGTGAATACACTTTGAATCGATTTAGACGGGTAGATCTTGAGAAATTGCAAAAAAACTACCAAAAAATTTTTTTTTCAAAAGTGGTTTTTTCGAATATTTTTTAAACGGCTTTATTGATCAATTCCAAAAAATAATCAGCTCTTGACATTAAAAAACCACGTCGATCGCCGCCAGTCTGGTCAAAATCGGTTGATTCGTTCGTGAGTTATCGTTGACGAAAGAAAACCAAAAAAAGTGTTTTTTTGGAATTATTCCGAAATTTTTCGTTCTATGAATTTAAACTTGAAGATTCTTTATGAAGCTTGAAAACTGCGTCGAATGCCACCGACTGCGTAAAAATCGGTTTATTCATTCAGAAGTTATTGCGATTTGAAAATTCAAAAAATAGTGTTTTATTAAACCCCTATCAAACTTTTAAGCTTGAAGAGCTCAAAATAACACACAAATTGTATTTATAAGCTGGAAGAGCTTAAAAACGTCATAAGTGCAATTCCAAGTGTTTAGATATAGAATTGGCGGGAAGTTGCAGGGATGGCCTTCAGGGTCAACCGTTTTCTTAATTTTTTTAGATTTAAAACGATTTATGATTAAAGTACGATCAAAATTAGTATTCAACAGACTAAAATACTTAAAAATTATGCTTGCCTTAGATCTCAAAATTTTTTTTCTTGCCAAAACATCGAATTTTCGCTATTTTTGGGGGTTTTTTGCAATTTACTCGAAATTGAAGGCTGGACGGCCTAAACTGACTTGAAATTTATATTCAGCGGGTCGAAAAACATGCCCGTAGATAGGTGGCGCCCGGTGTACAGACATTTTTTTTTATTTTGTAAGCCGGTGTTATTAACTTTTCTTTTTACGTTAATAGTTAAGAGCACTATCATTATCCGATTTTGAGTACTTCTACTGATATTTTTTTTTTACAGCCAAGCAGAACGACCATTAAAGCAGCGTATATTGACGCAAATGCGGCAACTTAAAAAAACACAGTACAGTGGTTCAAATTCTCCTCTCTATACTTCAATATGCCCAATAGTTTATGCAGCCCGCATGTTTGGACTAGCACCTTATGAATTTAAGGATAATAAACTAGTACCGTCAGATACTTATGTGAGTTTTACATTTTTTTGGTTCATTGTCTACACGTACTTCATCTGGGGCTATCTTGAAGGCTTTTCAAGTTCCAAACAAAACAAAAAAGCAACTCTTACGTACACGGAATCAGCAAAAGTATAAAATAATTCGTTTTTATCATTAATAATATAGTTAATTTCTTTCCATTTTCAGACTGTATCAAATTACATCGTAGCAATAACAGATTTAATAGTATGTATGGTTACAAGAAAACAAATTGCATGGATATGGAACAAAATCCAAGACTATGACCAAGCGATGCGAGATCTTGGACACGCAAGAACTGAAAAAAAAGCCTGCATGTTGGCATGGTTTATAATAGGATTCAACATAGTACTTTGGGCAGTTATAAACAATTTAGGAATGACTGCATTCGACGAAAGTTTTCTTTATAATGCATCATACTTGATAGTGTATGTTGGAGCTGCCACTGCGGTTACTAAATTTTCGGGACTGGTACTAATACTAGGCCAACGGTTCAAGCAATTAAACGAAATCGCTAAAAGCAATGTCTACAAGACGCGATGGATCCACGCAGACCCAATTATTGACGACAAACTCGTTGATTTTCTTCACAGTGAACTTACTACCATTGGAAATAAGCTCAACTATGTGTACAGATGGTCGTTAATACTTTGGCTGGGAAACTTAAGTTTTCACAGTGTTTGTTGTTCTTATTTTGTAATGGATTGGGTACTACAAGGAAACATTTATCCGGATCTTATTAATTGTCTTCTTGCTTGGTTTGCATCTACAGTCACTCAACTTTTTTTAATCGATTACTCATGCCATTATACGTCGAGTGAAGTAAGTAATTTAGATTTAGAAGAAAAAAATTACGCAAACTGTTCTACTTCCTATCATTCTCAAGTTCAAGACTCGAAAATTTCTAAATATTTGTAGACAATTAAGCTATTTAGGGTTAGAAACAGAGTTTCTAGTATATTTTTCTACGTTTTTGAACTATTAGTTCAATCAATATGAAAGAAAGTCAAAATTTATTTTAAGAAAACATGTCTAATGAAATTTCTATTTAGCTCGATAGTGAGATATTCCTTAATGACTAATGAATTTCAAAAAGTCGGGAACTTACTAGTTACACCCTCGTTTTAAAAAAGTATTGTGCCTATTCCTACGAGGATGGCTTTTCGTATGCATGTGTATGTGTAAGTTATTTTTAACAAATATAAATAATGCTGTGAAGCGGGAAAGAATAGAAGTTACGGATAATTATTACGTGAAGCGTAAT